CTGAGGCAGGCTGAGGCTGAGGCTGACGCAGGCTGAGGCCGAGGCAGGCTGGGGCTGAGGCTGAGGCAGGCTGAGGCTGAGGCAGGCTGAGACTGAGGCTGAGGCAGGCTGAGGCTGAGGCTGAGGCTGATGCAGGCTGAGGCTGAGAGGCTGACGCTGAGGCTGAGGCTGAGGAAGGCTGAGGCCGAGGCTGAGTCCGAGGCAGGCTGAGGCTGAGGCTGAGGCAAGCCAAGGCAGGCTGAGGCTGAGGCTGAAGCTGAGGCAGTCTGAGGCTGAGGCTGAGGCTGTGGCTGAGGCTGAGGCAAGCTGCGGCTGAGGCCTGAGGCAGGCTGAGGCAGGCTGAGGCTAAGGCTGAGGCTGAGGCAGGCTGAGGCTGAGGCTGAGGCTGAGGCAGGCTGAGGCTGAGGCTGAGGCTGAGGCAGGCTGAGGCTGAGACAGAGGCAAGCCGAGGCAGGCTCAGGCTGAGGCTGAGGCTGATGCTGAGGCAGGCTGAGGCTGAGACAGGCTGAGGCCGAGGCAGGCTGAGGCTGAGGCAGGCTGAGGCTGAGGCCGAGGCAGGCTGAGGGGATGAGGCCGAGGCAGGCCGAAGCTGAGACAAGGTGAGGCTGAATGGGGGGGGAAGGGGGGGGGGGGAGGGGAGGCTGAGGCAGGCTGAGGCCGAGGCAGGCTGAGGCTGAGGCTGAGGCAAGCCGAGGGAGGCTGAGGCTGAGGCTGAGGCTGAGGCTGAGGCTGAGGCTGAGGCTGAGGCTGAGGCTGAGGCAGGCTGAGGCTGAGGCTGAGGCAGGCTGAGGCTGAGGCTGACGCAGGCTGATGCCGAGGCATGCTGAGGCTGATGCTGAGGCAGGTTGAGGCTGAGGCCGAGGTAGGCTGAGGCTGAGGCTGAGGCTGAGGCAGGCTGAGGCTGAGGCTGAAACTGAGGCAGGCTGAGGCATCCGTAGGAATCCATAGGAATCCTTAGGAATCCCTAGGAATCCTTGGGAATCCGTAGGCATCCTTAGGAATCCGTAGGCATAGTTTAGCATCCTCAGGAATCCTTAGGAGTCCTTAGGATTCCTTAGGATTCCATTGGATCCTAAGGCCGTTGCCACTGTGACTGTTATTGCGAATGCGACTGCGACTGTGAGAACAGCAGAATTCTACAACTGAATTCTCACCTGAATCTTAAGGGGAATGCTTCCAGATATGCTTACACACATCGCTGTTAGGTTGCTTTGCCGGGATGATTGTTTTTCCGCACAGCGCCGCCCCCCATCCCGCGCGCCGCATCCCCCCTACGCGCCAGCCTGAGCGCCCCCTCCGCCCCGACCCCTTCATTTCGGCACGATACCGCACTCCCCATCCCCCGCGACTCTTCCGCAGCCCCCGCCCACCAGCCAGCGTGCCCCCTCCGCCCCGACCCCTTTATTTCGGCGTGGCCCCGCCCCGCCCCGACCCCTTACCATAGGCCCTCCGCATCCTCCCACCTACCAGCCAGCGCGCCCCCTCCGGCCCCCACCCTCTTCGCGCCCCCCCGCCCGCCAGCCAGCGCACCCCCTCCGCCCCGACGCCTTCATTTCGGTGCGGCACCGCCCCCTCCGCCCTGACCCTTTGATTTCGGCACGGCACCGCCCCCCCCCGCATCCCGCGCGCCCCCTCGGCATCGCCCCACCCACCAGCCAGCGCGCCCCCTCCGCCCCGACCTTTCTTTCGGCACGGCACCGCGCCCCCCATGCCGGGCGCCCCCTCTGCATCACCCCACCCGCCAGCCAGCGCGCCCCTTCAGCCCCGACCCCTTGATTTCGGCATGGCACCGCCCCCCATCCCGAGCGCCCCCTGCATCGCCCCATCCGCCAGCCAGCGCGCCCCCTCCGCCCCGACCTTTTCATTTCGGCACGGCGCCGCCCCGCGGCCACACACGCATCTCGCAGGCACATACATGCACATTCGTGCTCGTCCCGCTGCTGTCTACTGCCCCGCCTGGCACGGCGGATCCCGAAGGCCCAAGGGCGGAAACCGTGACAAGGTGGATTCTGGACGATACGAGTTGGGGGGGGACGATGCCATTCCCTTCATGTTTGCAATATTGAGGCGTTGGTGCCGACTGAAGGCACCACAGGATCCTGGCGTCACGACGATGGCGGCCAAGGGATGGCGGGCACCCAAGCGGGGTCGGGCTCGCAACATCACGCCAACAAAGCGTGTCTATGCTTGTCCCCCCCGCTCCCCTCTGCCCTCCCACAAGGCCGCGACAGACAATGATTGACTAGGGTGGCAATTATTTGTTGTTGTTTTTTCTCACCCTGCGCATTGCTTCAGCCGCAGCCCTCTGCGGTGGGCCCTTTTTGTTGTTTGTTTTGCTTAGGGGCTGCTCTTTGCAATGCGGGCGAATGCCATCGCCCCCCCTACAAGAGGAAAGTGCGGGAGTGGCGGACCTAGAATTCGGGAGGCACCATGGCCCTCCCGCTTCGCCCTTCTTAAGTCAGGCTCGGAAGCTGCAAAGTTAATCCAGCACATTTGCCTCTCCTCTCGAGGGGTCCGGGTGCCTGCGCTGGAACATCCGGTTCCAATTGCCCCTGTTGTGCTCGCCGGTGCGCCGACCCCTGCGGTCACCAGACAGTCCAATCGACTTCTTCCGAGGCGGGAATTTATCCGTATCCACCGCCTGAAGGGTCAGTTTTCGGAGCCTCGGCAGGCGGTGGATATGGACATATTTGGGCCCCTGGGGGCCGAAATATATCCATATCCACCGCCCGCTGGGGCACCAGGACGTCGGTTCCCAGGCGGTGGATATGGATACATCCCCGCCTCGCACTTCTGCCCTTGACAGACAGCCCCGCAGCTGCTGCAGACAAAAATCAGATTGAAGTCCCCATGGCACGCTACAGGCGGCCCGGATTAGCAGGTCGACCCTGCCAGATCAAGGGCACCCTCGTGTCCTGTGTCTTGCGACCCATGCCTCCTGCATTCCTGTGGCAACGTGGCCCTCGGAAGGGGCTTTTGTCCTCTCGCGTGTCATGTCCAATGAAGTCCGACTGTACAGACAAACATCAGATTGACGTCCCCACGGCACGCTCGCTGCCTGCGGGAATTCGCAGCAATGCCGCTAACAGCAGCACAGTGCCCCGTGCACCAGGCCGTCTGGGAGGGCCTTTCGTGCCGTGCAGCTGTTAAGCACGAGTCAATGCTTGCAGACATGGCCATCCGGCTCTCTCTGCCCCCTGGGCAGCCCCACAACTGAGAAGCTCTCTGTACACATTGTTCATTTCAAAGTCTTCGAAACATTGTCGGTTTTTTGGGGGCCAAGGTCCTTTCGTTTCTAATTGTTCTGTCCTGGGCCTCTTCCTGGCCACTAGGGGGCCAGGACCAGGAACAATTAGAAACGAGCGCAAGTAGAAATGAGCACGATTAGAAATGAACGACGTGTACCGCGATGGTGCCACTGCGAAGGATCAATCTACCCTGGGCCTCCTGGTGATATGATTTCTCCCACTGGGCTGCGCCACTACTGTGGCGTCAACGCTACCCCCAAGGTAAAATGTCTCCTCACGTCCTGGCGGGGTCTCGGCGATCTTGCCGAATCGTTGATTATGCAAAGCAAACCTTAGAGGAATCAACGCCCAGCTGGGAAGGATAATGGTCGATCCCCTTGAACAGGCCGGTTGGAGGCTACATACGAGCTCTTATAGTCCGCAGCTCTCTGCCTCTGGGGCCCCAAACGCATCCCTCGTTTAGTCGGGGGGGAGTCTAGCATAGTGTTCCTGTCGAAACGCGCTGCTCGGGCAAAGAATGAGGGATAGCACACCAAATGGCGGATGCAATGCAATATTGGGAAGGATGATGGTCGATCCAATTGAATCGACTGGCTGAGGGCTACTTACGAACTCTTGGAGTCCGTAGCTCTCTGCCTCTGCGCCCCAAATACTTATCCCTCGTTTCGAGAGGGAGGAGTCTGGCATGGCGCTCCTGTCGACGCGCGCTGCTAGGGCACAGTATGAGGGTTGAGCACCCCCAAATGCGGATACCATGCCTTACTGGGCAAGGTGATGGCCGATCCATCTGAATCGATTGGCTGAGGGCTAAGTTTGCTCTCTTGGAGTCCGTAGCTCTCTCTGCCTCAGTGCCCCTCAAGAGCCCGACTAGGATGTGCGCACATCCCTGAACATGTGACTTGGCTGGACGGACATTTCCTCAGCCGGCGCCGCAGTGCCACCTCCTGATGGCCTAATGGGTGCACGCGGCAATAAGATGTGATTACGATATTGTTGGAACCCAGGGGCTGTAGGTCAGACAAACAATTTAACGTTTGACATTCTAACTCGTCGGGCTTTGACAAGCCAGCAAACACTCAGCTGAGCAAAAGAGTGTTTCACGCTCGGGTGCACAATCAAATGTGTTTCACGCTCGGGTGCATTAGAAATTGTGCTGCACGCGTCCGTGGCCATTTCGGCTCAAGCCACTTTGGCCCAGAGAGAATCTCCAGGTGGCCTTGCGTTACCACCCAGGACTCACCGGCCAGCAGCAGGAGCCTCGGCCATGGCCTCCCGCGTTCCCACCGTGGACGGCGATCGGGCCGCGCTCGACGAGAGCGAGTCCGATCCCGGCGAGGCCGCTCCGAGCAGCGCCTCGCGTCCGCGGCGGGCGTGGGCCGTCGCGGCGGCGCTGGCTGCGGCGGGCCTGGCATTCGCCCTGCTCCTGGCTGGGGCCCCCGGCCGCCCAGTGCGGTCCACGGGCTCCTCGCGCGGGGCCCTCATCGCGGAGGAGGAGCAGCGGCCCGAGAGGGAGGCGTTGGTGATGCTCCCGGGCATGGGGAAGGAGGCCGGCGCGTCCGAGGGCAGCGAGGATCGACGACATGTAAGAGTGACCCTTCGCCGGAGGTGCGCGCTCACTGGAGTCCCCCGATCGCCGCGCCCGTTGCGATAGTAGCGTCCTGCGCACTTTGTGTTTGGCCTCCTCGCGCCCCCCAGGAAGCCGCGCACCAAAGGTCACTCTTGCCCAGGGTCGCTCTTACGTGCAGCCGAGAGGAGCCGAAGACTGCCGAGGACATCATGGCGGAGGCCGTGGGGCTGGGCAGGGCCGCGGACGACGCCAGGGAGGCCGCGAAGAAGCGCGGCGAGCTCTCGCCGAGGATCGGGTGAAGCAGGCGCAGCAGGCGATCCAAGACGCCAAGGAGACGGTCCAGAAGGCGAAGCAGGGCGTCAAGGACGCGGAGGCCCAGATCAAGGAAGGCAAGGCTCTGCTCGAGCAGGCGCTGAAGGATGTCGAGGAGGGTTCCAGGCAGCAGGAAAAGGCAGAGGGCGACCTTGTTGTGGCGAAGAAGGACCTCGACGGTGCCACCAGCGACCAGGCCAAGGCGCAGGACCAGAAGACCGCTGCCAAGGAGGCAGAGGAGGCCTCCTTAAGAAGGCCGCGAGCAGCCGCGCCTGCGTTGACCTCCCTGGGGTGAGGATGCGCCCTGGGGCCAGCGAGAACGAGTTCCGCCGCCAGGTGGAGCCCGGCTGGTACCCAGAGATGGACAGCATGTCGGCCTGCACGGAGTGGTGCAAATCGCACGCCTCCTGCATTCAGGCGACCTTCTCCTACGTCGGTGTGCCAGAGGGCGGCAATCCGTGCCACCTGTTCGAGGAGCGCGGCGAGGTCTACGACTTCCGCGACGACTTCAACGCCTCGTGGTGCGGCACTCTGGAGCAGACCGACTACCTGGTTGGGGAGCTCAAGAAGGTTTTCGAGCAAAAGCCCTGGGTCGGGGACAACTTCGGTGCCGTCCCGTGTGGCTTCGGCGGCGACGACTGCCAGGAGAGCAGGTGCTGCGGCTCGCAGACGTGCACGTGGGATTTTAGCAAGTGCGAGTACTTCAAGTGCATCAGGAAGGACGAGAACTTCGCCGGCTGCGCTGCGGAGCCAGAGGGTGGTTGGGACGGCGAGATCCTTGATTACGGGCCCTCCGATGAGGACCTCCCCGCCGTCGAGGATGGGAAGCTGGCCCACCCGACCTCTCTATTTTGTTTTGTGGTGATGATGCCTGGGGCGCGCGCCTCCGCCGGGGTGCAGGAGGACGAGGGGGCGCTGGTGGCGACTATGAAGGAGACGTCGTCGAGCGTCTACTCTTGCGACGAGCAGCTGGTGATCGAGGGCTGGGTGAACTCAGGCTCTGAGGCGAATATCGACGCTTTCATCCAGTACTGGGGCAAGGTGAAGGAGGACGGCCGCTACATGCTGCACGACTGGGTGATCAAGGCCGACGCAGACTGCATCTTCATGGCGGACCGTGTCAAGGCCCATATCAATCAGTTCAAGCCGCCCGCTGGCGCTGCCGTCTACTTCAGGAACACCGCGTTCAGGTTCAACTTCATGGGCGCTTTCGAGATGATGAGCCGGGAGGGCGCCCAGGTGTTCTTCGAGAACAACTGGCAGTGCGACGCGAAGATTGGCCATACGGGCGGAGAGGATTATTGGATGAAGCTGTGCCTTGATACCCTGGGACTCCGCCACATCTCGGACTACGCGTTGCTGTACGACAAGTACGCCGCGCAGAATGATTGCGTTGACTCTTGGGCCGCAGCCTTTCACTTCTACAAGACCCCCGAGCAGGTTAAGAGCTGCCTGAATGGGATCAACAGATGATAGCGCTCGGCGCGATCGCCGGGCATATAGCTCCACGGCAGCCTTGTCGGATTTTGCTCGCGCTCGCCGGTTCCCGCTTCACGTGCGAAGCCGTCAGAACTCCTGTCTTCCAATGAAATTTAGGGGACGGCACGCGTTCGCTTTAGCAGGCTCGCATGTTTGTGCCAGCGTCTTTAAGACACGCCAGACAATGTACAATTCCAGCAGCTCTGCACGCTGTTGCTGCAATTACCTTTACAGGTGCATTATGGCGGGGAGCCGTAGCATCAGCTGCTCTCTCCGTCGTCGCCGTCCTCCTCCTCCTCCTGTTGTTGTTCCTGCACCTCCTTATCTTTCAACACTCAAGAGGCAATTGCCGTCTGGAAATTATAAGCACCGACTCTGGTTGTCTTTGCGTGCACGAGTTAGCTCATCAATCCTGTCCCAATCTTGGCGCGCTCTTCTCTTCAATTATCGTTTGAATAGTGCCGAATTCGATCTTCTCGTCTGCCTAAGACCGTGGCGATGACCCGACAGCAACTTGGTCATGAGCCGCCGCAGAGAAAACCAGGTGTTGCACGCTCGGGTGCACTATACATTGTGCTTCACAGTCGGGCGCTGAGCGAGCATGATTGTCGCAGATCGGAACCTTTCGAAGCTCATCATCAACTGATCCGGGGTCACACAATGCTTCACACAGTGTGGCATGCGCGCGCAATGCATCACAGTTGGCGCACGAGCGAGGACAAATCCTGCCCCCTTCCCCTACCCACATCTCCATTGGGCCAGGGCAACACTGGCCGGCAAATATTATGCGTGAAGCAGCGTATGAGGGGTCCCCCCCCCCAGAAAGCGGGTAGCATGTCTTACTGGGAGGTGTCATGGCCGATCCACCTGAATCGGCCGGCTGCGGGCTGCCTTTGAACTCTTGGAGTCCGTAGTTCTCTGCCTCTGTGCCCCAAACACATCTCCCTCGTTTCGTGGGGGAGCGCTCCTGTCGAACCGCGCTGCTAGGGCTAATGGTCTATCCAATTGGATTGACCGCACCAGGGAGGACAAATTCTTCCCCCCTCACCTTACCCGTATCTTCATTGGGCAACCCGCCAGGCAACATTGGTCGGCAAGTGTTACGCGTGAAGCAACGTTTCGGGGGTCAACACCCCAGAAGCAGGGACAGCATGTCTTACTTGGATGGGTCATGGCCGATCCACCTGAATCGGCCTGCTGAGGGTGTCCGCAGCTTTTCTGCTTCTGCGCCTCAAAAACATCTCCCTCTTTTCGTGGGGGAAGTTCTAGCGTAACGCTCCTGTCGAACCGCGCTGCTAGGGCTAAGCATGAGGGGGCAGCCCCCCGAAATGCGATGTATTCAATGTCTTGCTGGGAAGGGGAATGGTCGATCCAGTTGAATCGACTAGCCGAGGGCTACGTTTTAACTCTTGGAGTCCGTAGCCCTCTGCCTCTGCGCCCCAAACATCTATCCCAGAATGGGCTGTGCAGGCGGGGGAAGGGAGCCCCAGTGAGCCTCAGTCGCCCCAACACCCACTCCCTGGCTCACCTGGTAGAGGTGCTCGCCAGGTGCCTGCACGGACCCTTAGAGGCTGCCCCATGCGTCTTTTACCAGCTTGCGGGCCAGGGAGTAACTGGGGTCTTTGGCACGGGGGAGGAGGAGGAGGAGGAGGAGGAGGAGGAGGAGGAGGAGGAGGAGGAGGTGGAGGATGGAGGCGGAGGGGAGGCGGAGCGGAGGCGGAGGCGGAGGAGGAGAGGAGGAGGAGGAGGAGGAGGAGGAGGAGGGGAGGAGGAGGAGGAGGAGGAGGAGGAGGAGGAGGAGGAGGAGGGGGAGGGGGCGGAGGGGAGGGGAGGGGGAGGGGGAGGGGGAGGCGGGGGGGGGGAGGGGGAGGGGGGAGGGGGAGGGGGAGGGGAGGAGGGGAGGAGGTGGAGGTGGGAGGTGGAGGTGGAGGTGGCGGGAGGTGGAGGAGGAGGAGGAGGCTGAGGAGAGGAGGAGGCGGAGGAGAGGAGGAGGAGGAGGAGGAGGAGGAGGAGGAGGGCTCCTTCGGCAAGCAGAGTGGAATCTCGTTGAACCACATTGGACACCTGTGGAGGTATGTGCGAGGAGAGGAGGGGCGAGAGGAGGGGAGGAGGAGGAGGAGGAGGAGGACGAGGAGGAGGAGGAGGAGGAGGAGGAGGAGGAGGAGAAGGAGGAGGAGGAGGAGGGAAGAGGGCGGCAGGGGCAGGGTGGATCTCACTACCCCCCTGCGGTTTGGGCTGCCCTGGGGAGGACGGTGGCGCTCCCGATTGGAGGGGCTACGACGGCAGCGGGCTGCCCATGGCCTTCGGCCAGCAGCAGTTCGGCGGGTACGCCGCTGGGGCCTTCGGGGGGTGCCCGCAGGGCAAGGGCAAAGGCTCGGAGACCTTCGCGACGACCACCGCTCCAAATCCCACCTCCCTCCTCCTGCTGCTCCTGACTCCTCCTGGCTCCTCCTCCTCCTCCTCCTCCTCCTCCTGACGTCCTCCTGCTGGACTCCTCCGCCGCCTCCTCCTCCTCCCTCCTCTCCTCCCTCCTCCTCCTCCTGTTTCCTCCCCACTACGTCTCTTGCCCCCCTCCTATCTCGTCCTTCCTCACCTCTTTCACCCCCCGACCCCCCGTGTATCGCTCCTCGTGTCTCTTCCCTTTTTCTCTCACTCCTCCTACGCCTCGCCGGCGCCTCTTCCTCCTCCATCGTCCGAACTTCGACGCACTCATAATCCTCATCGTCCCCCTCACTTCTCCGTACTCATCCCTCCTCCCTCCTCATTCTTTCTCCTCTCCTCGGCACGACTCAGCACGCAATCCTCTACCTAACACTCAATCCTCATGGTCCTCTCCCTCCTCCTCTCCTCCTCCTCATTCTCCTCCTCATGTACCACTTGTTTCCCCCTTGTTTTTTGTGTTTTTTTGCTCCTCTTCCTCTCCTACTTACTTCTCCTCCTCCATCTCCTCCTCGTCTCTCCCTCTCTCCTCCGCCTCCTCCTCCCCTCGTCCTCCTCCTCTCCTCCGCCCTCCTCCCTCCGCCATCCCGTCCCTCCTCCTCCTCACTCTAATTTCTCATCCCCCACTTCCCCTTGATCATCAGCCTCCTCTTCCTCCTCTCCTTCTCCTCCTTCTCCTCCTTCTCCTTCTCCTCCTCCTCCTTATCCTCGTCCTCGGCCTCCTCCTCATCCTCCTCCTCCTCCTCCTCCTCCTCCTCACTCCTCATCCTGCTGTTGATCATACTCCTCCCTCGCATCCTCCCCCTCTCCTCCTTTTTCGTCCTATTAATCCTCCTCTTCTTCCTCCCTCGCTTTCCGCTCCAATTTCCTCCCCAGCCCCCATTTTCCGTGTCTACCCCCTTCGCTCGTTCTTGGATTTCTTGTTCTCTCCCTCTCTCTCTCTCTCTTTTTCCTTAGCGGGCAGTGTTTCTCATGCTTATCTTCTTCTCCCCCATGGTCCTCCTCCCCCCTTCTCCTCTTCCCTCCCCCTCTTTCCTCCCCTCCTTCCCCTCGCTCTGCTCCTCCTCCTCCTGCTCCTTCTTCTCGCTCCCCCGCGGTGGATCAGGGAGCGGCGAGGGGGGGGGGCAGGTCGGACCGGTGGTTGTCGCGGGGGTCTCGCAAAAGGCAAGGGCAAGGGCCGGGGAAAAGGTCGCCCAGACCGTCGACGAGACAGCGATGATAGGTAGCGGTGCCATTATGGATTGCTTCTCTCCGTCTCCAGTCCACACTGGTCCTCGCCCCCGTCTCATTGTCCCCCCTCCCGCTCGTCCTCCCTCCCTGCGTGGCCCTCCTCCTTCCTCATCCTCCTCCCTCCCCTACGGCTTCCACTTTTCCTCGCCCTCCTCTTGCCCCTTCTTCCTTCCCCCTCCTCTCCCGACCGTGGATGCCTGCGTACTGCGTTCAGGGCAACTGCGAAGGATGCGCCTTGACTGCGGTTCTCGAGGCTTCGCGCTGTAGATGGCAGGACGCTTGTCCATTGCAAAATACAGCTTCTCTTGCTTCTACGCGTCCTTCTCGCCCGAACCTCTTCCCGACCTCGTCCCTCTTCCTTCTGCTGCTGCTCTTCATCATCATGCTCCATATGCTGCTGCTGCTGCTGCTGCTGCTGCTGCTGCTGCTGCTGCTGCTGTTCTTTCTTGTCCTCCTCCTACTGGGATGTCCTCGTGTGGCCTCCTGTGGAGAGCCGCCGTGGGGGTCCGTCTGGGGGGAGCTGTTGTGCAGATGCCCTAGAGATGGGGCGTATGGGGAGCGAGCCTCGCGAGATGTTTTTAATGCTGTTGAGCGCACCTCGGCCTACACATACGATACGGTTCTTTCTGGTCGAGGGGGTGGATTTCTTGTGACATCGCTTCAGCCGATCGAGACGGTACGAGGAGAGTCTTATCGGCAATCCTCAAGCAGCTCGCAAGTTGACTGTTAGACCATGTGTCGAACGTGTCGTCTACTCTGTGCTGTGCTCTAGTATCTGTCCCTTTCGCCGTTGCCCCCCTCCCCTCTTCCCTCCTCCGTTGCCCCTACCCTCGCCCTACTCTCCCCATCCCACTTCCCAGTCACCTTCCTGCGCCTCCTTCCTTCTCCTACCCTCTCCCGTCCCCCTCCCCCCTTGGGAGTCTCGGGTGGGGCACCCAGGGGGGGGGGGGCGGGGGCGGCTCCTGCTCCTCATCCGCCCGCCCCTCGCAGGGATCGGATATAGGAGGGAGCGGAGGTGGAGGGAGGAGCAGGAAGAGGAGGCGAGGAGCGGCAGGAAGCAAGGGGGAGAAGGGAGGGAGGGAGGGAGGGTAGGAGGGAGGGTAGGGTAGGAGGGAGGGTGGGAGGGAGGGAGGGAGGGTAGGAGGGAGGGAGGGAGGGAGGGTGGGGAGGGAGGGTGGGAGGGAGGGGCGTCGAGCGGCGCCCATCGCGCACAGCCGGCGGACGGGCCTCCGATTTTTTCGGCTCGACCTGTCCTCGGAGCTTTTGGCCGCGCATGGTGCCGCATCTGACGGTGTCGTTTGCCGTTTTCCTTCACGATCGTTTTTTTATGTTTGCCATGTTGAACGAGTCTGTTGTGTTTTTGATAGTTGCTTGCCGTCTTCATTTGTTACCTAACAGCGAAGACTGGTAGGTTTCTAATGGTCTCAAAAGAAAGCATCATGACTCCCCAGGGGGGTCCGGGCAGGATCCGGGGAGAATCCGCGGACGTCGTTTTAAGCAAACAGTTGCACACTTCGTGGTCTTCGAGGTCCCAGAATTCCATTCCTGGGCCACATTCTGAATGCCCGGAACCAACTGTAGGCCACTTCGTGCTCTTCGAGTTCCCAGAACTCCATTCCCGGGCCACATTTTCAATGCCCGGAGCCAGCTGTAGGCCACTTCGTGCTCTTCGAGTTCCCAGAACCCCACTCCCGGGCCACATTTTCAATGCCCAGAGCCAACTGTAGGCAACTTCGTGCTCTTCGAGTTCCCAGAACTTCATTCCCGGGCCACATTTTCAATGCCCGCAGCCAACTGCAGGCCATCTCGTGCTCTTCGAGTTCCCAGAACTCCATTCCCGGGCCACATTTTCAATGCCCGGAGCCAACTGTAGGAGGATCACGGGCAAGAGCACGAGGAGGAGGACGAGCAAGACGAGGAGGACGAGGACGAGCACGAGGAGGACGAGGAGCAGGAGAAGGAGGACGAGCCGGAGGAGGAGGACGAGCAGGAGGAGGAGGACGAGCAGGAGGAGGAGGACGACCAGGAGGAGGAGGAGGAGGAGGAGGAGGAGGAGGAGGAGGAGGAGGAGGAGGAGCGGAGGGGGAGGACGACCAGGAGGAGGAGGAGGAGGAGGAGGAGGAGGAGGAGGAGGAGGCGAGGGCGGCCGGCTGCCCCGGCCGGCTGCCCCGGCTGGCTGCCCCGACCGGCCACATTTTCAATGCCCGGAGCCAACTGTAGGCCACTTCGTGGTCTTCGAATTCGAGTTCGCAGAACTCCACTCCTGGGCATGTTTTTGAATGCCCAGAGCCAACTGTAGGCCACTTCGTGTTCTTCGAGTTCCCAGAACTCCATTCCCGGGCCACATTTTGAAGGCTGAGGCAGGCTGATGCTGAGGCTGATGCAGGCTGAGGCTGAGGCAGGCTGAGGCTGAGGCCGAGGCTGAAGGCAGACTGAGGCTGAGGCTGAAGCAGGCTGAGGCTGAGGCTGAGGCAGGCTGAGGCTGAGGCTGAAGGCAGGCTGAGGCTGAGGCTGTGAGGCTGAGGCTGAGGCTGAGGCAGGCTGATGCTGAGGCAGGCTGAGGCTGAGGCTGAGGCTGATGCAGGCTGAGGCTGAGGCAGGCGGAGGCTGAAGCCGAGGCTGCAGGCAGACTGAGGCTGAGGCTGAAGCAGGCTGAGGCTGAGGCTGAGCAGGCTGAGGCTGAGGCTGAGGCAGGCTGATGCTGAGGCCGAGGCTGAGGCTGAGGCTGAGGCTGATGCAGGCTGAGGCTGAGGCTTGGTGTTGGGAGGTTTGTTGTTGATTCTTTTTTGGATTCCTTGGAGGATTCAAGTTGTTGTGTGATCGTGTTTTCTTGTTGTGTTTTTTTGGTTGTTTTGATTTTTTTTTTCTTCTTTTTGTAGCTTCGCTGCTTGGGTTCTTTGTGTTTATTTTTTGTTTTGTTTTCTTTATGATTGTGTCGATTTTTGTGTTGATTTTTTGTTGTTGTTGAGATTGTTTTGTTTTGTTTTGAGGCAGGCTGAGGATGAGGCCGAGGTGAAGCAGGGACTGAGGTGAGGCTGACGCAGGCTGAAGCTGAGCTAGGTGCAGGCTGATGCGAGGCTGAGGCAGGCTGAGCTGAGGCTGAGGCTGATGCAGGGTGAGGCTGAGGCAGGCGGAGGCGAGGCCGAGGTGCAGGCAGCCTGAGGCTGAGGCATGAAGCAGGCTGAGGCTGCGGCTGAGCAGGCTGAGGCTGAGCTGAAGGCGGATTGGGGCTGAGGCTGGGGCTGAGGCTGATGCAGGCTGATGCTGAGGCAGGCTGAGGCTGAGGCCGAGGCCGGCGGCAGACTGAGGCTGAGGCTGAAGCAGGCTGAGGCTGAGGCAGAGGCAGGCTGAGGCTGAGGCTGAGGCAGGCTGATGCTGAGGCAGGCTGAGGCTGAGGCTGAGGATGATGCAGGCTGAGGCTGAGGCAGGCTGAGGCTGAGGCCGAGGCTGAAGGCAGACTGATGCTGAGGCTGAAGCAGGCTGAGGCTGAGGCTGAGGCAGGCTGAGGCTGAGGCAGGCTGAGGCTGAGGCTGAGGCAGGCTGAGGCTCAGGCTGTGACTGCGACTGCCGTTGCCACTGCGACTGTCATTGCGAATGCGACTACGACTTCGAGAACAGCAGAATTCTACAACTGGATTCTCATCTGAATCTTAAGGGGAATGCTTCCAGATATGCTCCTACACATCGCTGTTAGGTTGCTTTGCCGGGATAAATTGCCTTCGCCGTTTGCCGGTTTGAACGAGCCTGTTGTGATGAGCGGAAGGTGCAGCGCTGGTCGTGCGAGCGCCCGTATGAGCGCCCGTCGTGGCCTGGAGCATTCGGTCTTAAAAGCTGGTGTCCTCCAAGGCAAGGCCTGCAGCGGCATCCCGCAAGAATGCGCTGAGTTCTCTCGGCAGGAGGAGGAGGAGGAGGAGGAGGAGGAGGAGGAGGGGCGGAGGGGGAAGGTTTCTGGGGAGGCGGGGAAGAGGGGCGTTTTCCTTTGCGCTGCTGCTTCTGCTGCTTCCTCTGTCTTGGAGAGGGCTGGGGCCCCGTCTTGCCATTTGAGCTCGGCGAGGGTTTCCACGTTTCTTGGCACAGCCAGGACGTTGAGATGAGAACCGCCTTGGGCGCGGGAGGGGCGACGATTCCCGGGAGGAGGAGGAGGACGACGAGGAGGAGGAGGACGACGAGAAGGAGGATGAGGAGGATGAGGAGGAGGAGGAGGAGGAGGCGGAGGAGCAGGAGGACGAGAACGAGGAGGAGGAAGGAGGAGGAGGAGGGCCGTGCCTCAGATCCAGGTCGGGGAGCCCATTCGTGGCGGAGTCTCGCCGTGGCGAGATGCAGTGCTCCGTGTGGGTCGCACGCGGTCGCACGGCGACTGTGCGCATGCCCCCGATCGTTGTCCCGAGGGCCGCGCTGTGACCAGGGAGCCGCAGGCCCCCTCCTCGCCCCCCGTTTCCCGTCCTCCCTCCGTATGGCCATGCTGGCTCAGGGAGCAGGACTCGGAGGATCTCGGCAAGCAGCCACCTGCCCGTCTCGGCGCCATGGGCGGGAGCAAGCCCCGCGGGATTAAGTGCGCCCGCAAGCTCGTGATCCGCCGCCGCTCGCAGCTTTGGGCCGACAAGGACTACAAGAAGGCGAACCTGGGCACCAAGTACAAGTGCAATCCCTTCGGCGGCACCTCGCACGCGAAGGGCATCGTCGTCGAGAAGATCGGGATCGAGGCAAAGCAGCCCAACTCCGCCATCCGCAAGTGCTGCAGGGTGCAGCTGATCAAGAACGGTAGTAGTGGATCAACAAACTATACCTAGACCCCCGACGTCGCGATTTTTTCACGACGTCGACCCCATGGTCTGGACCCCTTCCCCCGGAACGGTTTTCATCCTGAGTCCTTTTTTGATGGTCCCGAGGACCGGTAAGGGCCCCCGGAGGCCGAAAATAGCGAAAAACCTCCCGTCGTGATTTTGTCACAACGCGAGGGGGTCTGGGAAGCAGGGTGTTTCTAAGAAGCCTTCCCCCCTACCCCTGCCCCCCTCTGCGCGTGGGTGACCTCCTCCCCACCAAACCCCCACTCCTTATCCTCCTCCTCATCACTCCTCCTCCCCCTCACCCAGCCTGCCTACCTACCCCCTCCGTCACTATCACGCTACCCTGCATTCTTCGGTCCTTCATCATGGCTGCGGCTCTCAGTCAAGCCCTTCCAAATACCTCCCTGGACACATCCTCCTTCAATCCTTCAAATACCCTCCCAGGGATCTTGGGCCAGACCTACATCAGCCTTCGCCTCTACATCAGTGCAATTCCGCTTAATTCCGCCTCCCGCCTCCTCCTCCTCCTCCTCCTTAAGAATAATAATATCCAACACAAATCACCACCCTCTTCGTCCTATTCCTCTCTCATCACCTCCTCATCCTCCTCCTAATCACGCCTCCTTCTTCCTACTCCCGCCCCTCAACCTCTCCTCATAATCCTCTCCCCCCTCCTCATCCTACTCTCATATCCTCACGTCCTCCTCCTCCTCCTCTTCCTCCTCCTCCTCCCCTCCTCCTCCTCCTCTCTCTCCTCCTCCTTTTTTTTCCTTTTTCCCCTCCCTCCCGCCCCTCCCCCTCTCCTCCTCCTCCTCCTCTTCCTCCTCATCTCCTCCTCCTCCTCCTCCGCCTCTCTTCTCCTCCTCCTCTCCTTCCTCCGGAGGGGAGCAGCAGCAGCAGGCATGGGAGGACGAGGGGGAGTAGGAGGGAGGGGGAGTGGGCGGGAGGAGGAGAGGAGGAGGAGGAGGAGGAGGAGGAGGAGGAAGAGGAAGAGGGAGGAGGACGAGGAGGAGCAGGAGGAGGAAGCAGCAGGAAGGGAGGACGGAAGGAGGAGGAGGAGGAGGAGGAGGAGGAGGAGGCAGAGGCGGAGCGGAGGAGGAGGAGGAGGAGGAGGAGGGGAGGAGGAGGAGGAAGAGGAGGAGGAGGAGGAGGAGGAGGAGGAGGAGGAGGAGGAGGAGGAGTCGCTCCGCCAGCTCTGGCCCACGGCGCTTCGGCGCGACACGCTATCCACTTCCCAGTCCGCAGGCTTCTAAGTCTCGAGCCTTTCCGAGCCTCCCGCCCCGCGGAGCGGAGCGACACGCTATCCATTTGCAAGGCATAGCAGGTCGCCTGGGGCTCGTGGCGACACGCTGCGCAAAAGGTCCCGATCGTCTGTTTGTGCCGACTGGTCGCTCCCTACAGGCAAGAAGGTCGCCGCGTTCGTCCCCCGTGACGGCTGCCTCAACTTCGTGGACGAGAACGACGAGGCTTCCTTTTGGACTCCGTATCGCTCCGCCGGTCCTGGCCCACCGCGCCTTGGAGCGACGCACTGCCCACTCGCCACTCCCGATGCGGCTCGATGTGTAGCCTCCCGCCCCGCGGGAGCGGAGCTCTCCCCGAGCTCTCCCCGAGCCTCCCGCCCCGCGGGAGCGGAGCGGCCCGCCGCCGGCCTGCCGGGCGGAGCGTGCCGCTGGGGCCGCCGCCGCGACACGCTGTCCCGAAGCTCCCGGCCGCGTCCGCCTCCGTGGCCTCGCGGGCCGGGCCACTGCGCCCCGACCCCGCGGATCGGGGGGCGTCCGTGGCGCGGGCGCCCCGCGCGGCGCGCGTCCCCTGCGGCAGCGCGCCCGCGGGGCCGCGCCCCGGAGTCCAGGCCGCGAGGGCACGGGCAGGGCTCCTCCCCCTGCTCCTCCTCCTCCTCCTCCTCCTCCTCCCTCCTCCTCCTCCTCCTCCTCCTCCTCCTCCTCCTCCTCCTCCTCCTCCTCCTCCTATGCGTTCGCCGCCCGTGGGGAGGCCACGAGGTGCCGCTGCCGCTTCCCCCCGCACCTCCCACGGGGCGCGTCCTGACCAGCCTGTCGGGGCGAAGCCGGCCGCGGCGAGGAGGGCCCCCCACGAGGCCCAAGAGGGCGAAGCCGAGGGAGGGGGCAGTGGAGGGGGCAGCGGCCCCAGATCCCCGACGTCATGAGCTGTTCACAACGTCGACCCCCAGATTGCCTCGACCCATTCCCTGGGGCCGGTGTTTCACCCCGACGCTCCCGACGCCCCGTAAGAGCTCTCCGAGAGACCGAAAATGGCGAAAACCCTTCCGTCGCGATCTCATCGCGCCTCGAGCCCAGACCCCCCGACGTAATGATTTTTTCATTACGTCGACCCCCAGAGGTCTGGACCCTTTCCCCATGACCGGCTTTGCATCCTGAGTCGTTTTTTGACGCTCCCGAGGCCCGGTGAGGGCCCCTGGAGGCCGAAAATTAGGAAAACATCCCGTCATGATTTTTTCATTACTCGAGGGGGTCTGGGAGGGGGTCTGGGGCATCGGTGCCTTGTCCTCTGGGTGCGAGGTGCTGATCTCCGGCTTCGGCCGCCGCGGGCACGCGGTGGGCGACATCCCCGGCGTGCGCTTCAAGGTCGTGAAGGTTGCCGGCTGCGGCCTGGGCGCCCTCTACCGGGAGAAGAAGGAGCTCCGAGGAGGAGGAGGAGGAGGAGGAGGAGGAGGAGGAGGAGGAGGAGATGGAGGAGGAGGAGGAGGAGGAGGAGGAGGAGGAGGAGGAGGAGAAGGAGGAGGAGGAGGAGGAGGAGGAGATGGAGGAGAAGGAAGGAGGCCGTGCGGGCGAGCGGCCGTGCGGGAGGAAACCCAGACATGCTCGCGTCGTAAGAAAAATCAGGACGGAGGCTTTTCGACGTGTTCGGCCTCTGGAAGCCCTCGCTGGGCCCCGGGACCGTCAACAGAACGACTCAGGATGAAGAACCGGTCCAGGGGAAAGGGTCGGGGCTTCCAGGGACGCCGTCCTGCAAAAAGCAGGGCGTCGCATGTCTGGCGAAAGGCACCCTTACACCGAACCCTTCCAGGGCTCATTTCGATTCCCCCGAGTCGATTCGATGGGATTTCGATCAGATTCGCCGTTTGATTCGATGCGATTTCGATGCGATTCGATTCGATCAGTCGATTGGATGCGATTTCGATTCCCGTTTGATTCGATGCGTCAGTCGATTTCGACCAGTCGATGCGATTCGCCGTTTGATTCAATGCGATTTCGATCAGTCGATTCGATGCGATTTCGATTCCCCCGAGTCGATTCGATGCGATTTCGATTCGATGCCGGCGCCGCTTTCGATGCGATTCGCCGTCGGACTCCGAGGTGGGTTCCGATATTTCTCTCCGTGGAGGCCTCACCCGTCTGCCGATTTTGCCGCCGACACGGTTTTTCTCAGGAGGGAAAGAGACACACAGACACAATGAAGCGTCGATTTCCCAGAAAATATGGGAGAATATGGGAAGCGGGGGGGGGGGGAAGACAAAAACCAAAAAAAATGTGAAAATATGGGGAATCTTTTTATTTGTGTGTGTATTCATTTGTGTGTCCCAGGGCCCCTTCATTTTCCCGACTCGGCTGCCGATTTCCGCCGATCCGATCCATTTCGATCGCCGATCCAACTTATCGATTCGATGCTGGGCCCTCCTGACACTCCCTCGCTTTCCCTTTTTGGGCCTCCTGGGAGGCCCTCGTCGTCACCGCCGGATTCGCCTCGGACTTCTGGTCAGAGCGCACCTTGGGAGAGGTATGGGGTACAGCGGAATCGGTACTTTTCGTCGGATGCAACTCCTGGGAGGTCAAATTCTGATTTCGCCCTGGTCCGAGATCCGGCTTAATCCGGCTTAATCCCGCTTTATCCGGTCCAAGACCGCTTAATCCGGCTCAATCCCGCTGAACCCGCGGCCTAATCCAGCGTAGCAGCCCCCCAATGGGGCTTAATCCTCGTGTGTCCTCCGACGAAACTTTCCCAGAAGTTGCCTCCTAACCTTTCGATTTCCCCAGGAGAAGCCCCGTTCCTGAGGGCCCGCTCCGCCGCCTGCCTGGTGCATGAGATTCCCGAGAGCCATTCAAAGCTCCTCGTCCTTCTCCTCCTCGCCCTCCTCGTCCCCCTCGCCCTCCTCACCCTCCTGCTCCTCCTCCCCCCATCCACCTTCCCCTCGCCCTTCTCCCCATCCCTCCCACTCCACTCCTGATCCTCCTCCCCTCCGCCGGACCCGGAGGTGTCCCTGGACGGCCTGCTTGGCAGCCAGAGCGCGGAGGACTGGCGCGAGCTTGCTGACAAGTCCATCGCCTGCCGCGTGGCGCTGGCGCCGCTGGCAGGCGCGGCCACGACGACGACCTCGATTTTCGACGAGAGGGGGAGGAGGGAGACCAGTGCAAACCCAAGACTCATCAGCGATGTTGAAGTACACCCTACCTCTAAGATCCCTCTTCATAGGCCGTGTGAACATCTTGAAGCGTGCCACAACTCCATTCCCAGGACTTCAACGCCACGAGTTAACCTAACTGTTACGTCTTGGCGATCCTGACCTTCGTGCCAGAACACCATTCCTTGGACTTCAGCACCGCGAATCAACGTAACTGTTGCGCCCTGACAATCCTGAATCGATTCGAAATATCAGTTCTGGTATGTTACCAAGAGAATCGGTGAAACCCTGGTGAATGTTTGAAACGAATGCGCGCGGCGCCAAGGCGAGAGCCGCATTTTGAAAACCAGCCGCCCTCAATCCGTGAAGCTCTTGCAAAGTGTTACAACGAATGTGCGCGGCGCCATGGCGAGAGCCACATTTAAAAAACCACCTGCCATCAATCCGTGAATCTCTTGTAAATTGTAGAAACGAGTGTGCGCGGCGCTACGGCGAGAGCCACATGTTGAAAACCACCCGCCCTCAATCCGTCAAGCTCTTGCAAACGTGAGAACGAATGCGCGCGACGCTAAGGCGAGAGCCACATTGTGAAAACCACCCGCATTGAACCCGTGAAGCTCATTGATTTGTTTAGAACGAATGCGCGCGGCGCTAGCGCGAGAGCCACATTTTGAAAAGCATCCGCTCTCAATCCGTGAAGCTCTTGCGAATGTTTAAATCATATGTTCGCGGCGCTTAGGCGTGAGCAGCATTTTGAAAATGACCCGCCCTCCAGTGTGAAGCTGTTGCCAATGTTGAATCATCAGGGTCATAAGCGGTGAGGAAGTCTCAGGCGAAACCCCCAGCCCGCTCTTTCGACCAGCCTCGGGGTGCGACACGGATGAGTTATCTATGAGGAAAAGGAGAATGGAGGAGGAGAAAAGTAGAGGGCAAGAAGGGGGAATGGGAGGAGGAGAAGGAGGAGGAGGAGAAGGATAGCAGATGTGGAGAAGGAATAAGGCGAGGAGGAGGAGGAGGAGGAGGGGGAGGAGGCGGAGGAGGAGCAGGAGGAGGAGAAGAAGGAGGAAGAGGAGCACCATGATGAGGAGGGACATGGTAACCGGAGGAGCAGTAGAGGGAGGAGGAGGAGGAGGAGGTGGGTGATCAGGAGGAGTTTCCAAGCGGAGTTCGGCATTTGCCGAGGTGTCGACGAGGAGCCGCAGTCGCCGCGCAGGGGCGAGGACTCGCAGGTCGTCCCCCTCTTTGCGGCTGGTGCTGCGCCGAGGGGGGGGGGGTGTTGCGCCGCTCCTGTCCTCCCTCTTTCCCTCGTCCCTCTCTCCTGCTTCGCCCTCCTTTCATTCCCTCTTCCCTCCCTTTTTCCTCCTGCTCCTCCTCTTCCGTCACTCTTCCCTCCCTGTACCTCTCTCCTACTTGCCCCCCTCCTCCTCCCTCAGCCTGTTTCCCAGGTGGCCCGAGCCACCGACACAGCGCACCAGCCACCTACAGGAAACAACACCCCATCGCAGCAGCAGCGGGCCATGAAGTTCCCTTCTCGAGAATAGAGCCGCACGGCGGCGGCGCTGCCATTGTTGGGTGGCGAGAGCGGGTTGTTGAGAACCATCTGGTCCAACCCGTCTGCAGCCAGGACGACCGAGAGGCTGCACGACATCATCCAGGCGCTGCCGCAGCGGGACATCTACGCGCTCGTGGGCACACAGTCAAAATCGTATGGAGAGCAGGTTGACGAGACTCGCTTGATTGATAACGCTTGGTCGCTTGAAATTGGACTTCGAAGAAGTGCATATGTTATTGATGCATGCATGTGGTATTCGTTTTCTTATCAAGCGTTCGAGATTTCCACGGTCCACACTCAAACGAATTTTCCCGACTCCTACTGTGCTATGGGGACGATGTGCTGCCGTGAGTGTTCAGACACGCTCAGAATATACTGGGTTGGTCGTTATGTATGTTCCTCCTCGTCAGACACAATCGCAGCTTTGAAAAACTGTCGAGGAGGCTTGTTGTAATATGGTGAAATGACTTCAAGAAACGATGGATGACATGTCACGCAAGCAGGTGATCCCTCTTGTCTTCATGGACCTGAATGGTGGCCTCCCCAGTACTGGATACGGCACGGTGGCTGGACCATGAGGATATGGAAAGGAGAGTTCTTCGACAACCCAGCTGAGGGCGAACACACAACGTGAGCCCTCCTAGCTACGTAGGAAGCAACAACGCAAGCTAGATTGATCATATATGTATGACAATTGAAATGGTTGGATGCATTGAACGATGTAATGTACTATGTGAAGCGGGGCGACGACTCCAGTTGCACGACGTTGGCGAAGTACGAAATCACAGGCCCGTCCAATTTGTAGCACGAATTGTCATTAGTCTTCTGTCATTTCCAGAGAGAACCCCTCGTCCGAATTGAGAAGATTTACTCTGCTGCTTGCAGCAGGGACACAAAACACAGGAACTCTACGGCATGATGGGAAGGAAGTGTGCAGCATGTATAATAATTCAAACGGGATGGAAGCACAGAGCAAATCGGAGGACATGGGTGCAGCGTTCGTCGACATTTGTCAACAGTTATTTAGTTGAAGTACTTCATTCGAACCCGTTATATTCAGAAGGTAGACAACAACGAACACATCAGTTGAATCAGCTTGTGGCATATCGGTGGTCCCTTAGATATCAACGCTCATGGGCCGATAATGCAGATCACGTTGAGTCCCTTCCAGTTTTTACCAAGCAAGTAAGCAGGGCTATGAAGACATCTAATCTGACTTACTGGGATGTTATTACAAAAAACAGTGCGAATAAATTGAAAAAAAAAAAAAAGGCAGCGCAAGACAACACCTGATTTTTGGTCCAGTGGTTGGTGCGACGAATTGCTGGACGACGGAGGGGACCATGACAACGAAAGTTCGCTGCCCTCCCCACGTCAACCGCAAGTGCTGTAGGATGGACAGCCAGAATGAAGTTACCGAGTGCTCATGGGGGGGTGTACAGCTACCGAGACCAGCATGGGAGACACGATTTCGGAAGTCACAAGTGAAGAACGAGAACAACTCAGCGATGACGAAGCCTTGGAGTTACCAACAGACGACTGGCATGGAATGCGTCTTACACTATGGCGTATGAAGATATGACGTACATACCCATCCTAGTCAGTACCAGTTGAGGCGTTGCGACTTAATCGTGAAGCCCAAGTGGGTGAATCCTCGACGTCCACTACCGACAGCAGGCATTGGAGCTGATGTTGGCGAGTACCAGGCACCCATGGCCATGCAGGGCCTCATGAAAGCTACACTTGTTCTTCGGGCGCGCAAGTTGCAGCGTGTTCCGCTTGCTTGGCGCGCAGCACAAGGCGCCCGACTTCCCAAAGGCAACGACACAATTGAGGTGGATGGGGGGCGGGTCACCATGATAACGCGCACGATTGGGCGCACCTACCACTCGGCGGAGGTGCGACGCAAGCTTGACCCACGGCGGCCTGAGGAGTGGATGCGCGGCGGGTTAAAGGAGCGACGACGGGGAGCAGCCATGGGATTTCAGCCTGTTTCATATATGAGAATTCAGGCAGCACGAGTTTCCCGCATGGCATGGTTTCACGATGCGGCCAGCGCGTCCTTCGGCCTCAACCATGAGCGATCATTAGACATTTTACCGGCGGTGTGTGTCAATCAAGATATACAAGTTGTTCGCGATCGTGTTTTGTTTGGATTTTTCCTCTGGGGGATGAGAGAGGCAGCTACTGGTTTAGTCCTCATGGGGGTGCATTTCCAGGCGACGTTGGGGCTGCTTTGATATTTGCGAGGGCCTTCCGTCCACCTGTGCAGATTGCAGCTGCTGGTCTGCGTGTCATTCAAAATGGCTTCACGCCGTGGAGGTGGAACCTCCTTGGGGCGACCATCTCATGCTGCAGATGGCACTCTCTGGTTATGTTGATGATATAGCATGTAAGTTTTTTCGAAGCAAGCCATCCAGGTACGATTGTCGAGAAACTTGAACTTGGCAGTCGACTGGGGAATTCAGCCGTGGACAAGGGAATGGGGGAGGCGGGGGCTTCGCAAAACATCAGCAAAGGAGAACATGTAGCCTACCTACGCGGAGATGGAGCACGCATAGCAGCACGCATCACACATGAGCGCGTCACACAGATCGCAGGACGCACGATGCATCGCGCGCGCTACCTCAGAGGTCTTGCTCATCCTTGGGCGATTCAGTTCCAGCATGACCTAGAGGCTCTGAAGGAGGTGCAGGTAGGGGAGATGATGTGGGAGTTCGGAGGGGGTCTGCGACGTATATGATTCGAGGACCCGGAGGATTGCGTGAAGGTCGGCTGCGATGAGTTAAGAGCTGAATTTCTCATTGCACAGGTAAGCAGCACGCGCAAGCAATATCACAAAGATGGCAGGTTTAGATGTACAGAAACCTTGGAAGATGGCAGCTCACGCAATACAACATTGGCAACGCAGCACATGTTAACCAAGCGCATCGTCAACGCGATAGGCGGCAGCCACGGGCAGTTGCACGCAGGGCGTAGACGAACTACCACAAAACATGTGCGTGCTCTGCGACAACGTGTTCCTGAGCGCGGAGGTTGCGAAGAGACACACATCGGACAGTTTGAGACGACAGTCTTGTCCCTGTGATCGTGGGGGGCACTCATGTGAAGTCATGCCCCCCAAGAACATGACGTGCCCAATTCGTGACGAGAGTTTCGGAGTCTTGGATTTGTGGCTCAAGCATTGTCGAGACCATGTGGAACCGCATCTTGAACCCTCCTGTAATGTACGACAGCTAGTCAAGCACGAGACTGTGGATCAGTCTCTACGGATTTTACCACGAGGGCGCACGTCGTGGGCCAAACTACATGATCCAGATTGGGCACCTACCTCGCACGCTAGGCATCATGTGCGAGGAAGCAGAAGTACCCAAGTCGCGGCTGATTTGAGACCGCAGTAAGAGCTTCTCGGCGGCAGGCAACAATCCCAGGAAGTACAAAACCAAGGAGCACGACGACGAGGGCGGCGAGGAGATGGACTACACCACCACATTCATCCTGATGAAGAACCTCATCGTCCAGCTGGGAGCAAGAGCACGGCTGCTGGAACACGAACATGCGACGACGGCCATCATGGACAGGCAGCACCAAGCAGTCGTGGACGTCAACAAAGCATACGAGGAGTACGCCAAGGGACGCAAGCAGGACCCCAGCGTGAACCTTGGCTCTCCAGCGCGCCAGTCACTCTACGCGATTCTGACCGCCCTAGGCAATTGGGAATATCGTGACACTTCGGCGAGGAGATCGCGGCCCAAGCTCGCAGCTGCCCGCCCCGTGCGCATGGCGGCAAAGGCAGGGGCAGATCTGACGGGCAATGGGCCAGAGAAACAGCAGCGCCCCCGTGCTTCGACCAGCCCAACAAGCCCAAGCTATTACGCCGTTTTTTTTTTTGCCTCAGCTCGCGCGGGTCAACACTGGTGCCAGACGACGAGGCAGCGGCGGCCGAAATGCTCAAAGCGGTCGAGGAGCCAGACAGCCAGCTACACCAGCCGACGCCGCTAGAGGTGCCGACGAGCTTCTACGCGCTGAGGGGCAAGATCATGGTTCGAGTCGATCGTATCTGAGTTGATAGAGCTGCCGATGGAAGCGCTACATCAAGCAGAGCTCCGAGGGGCAACATGGCACGCATCCTCATGAAGAAGTAGAGGGCTCATCGTATTCTGATATCAGTCATGGGAGGATGCTGTGTTAGTTATGCGCAGGAGATAGGTGACATAGAACATGGCTTTCGCCATAGCATGCCTCCCCCACCCCTGGATATTCTGATTTTTGGGCTCCGCAGGCCCCTTGGTGCTCAGCTGGCTCTGTGGTGCGGCGCTGCCCTCCGAGGCTGTCTCGAGCCCTTGAGTTTCGAGTTGGGCCCCGCGGTCCCCCTGTCAGCCCACGCCGCGTCCGTGCTGAGAAGTCGAGCTTTGTCCTTATTGGATCGGGCTCATCTCTGCGCGCCATCGCGCACGATGCCTTCTCCCTCATCTACTGCTTCCTTTAGGTCCCGCCGCTCTGCTATCGCATCGGGGTCGATTGAATCGTCTTTTCGATTTGTGGGGCATGAGATAAGGCTCAATCCCCCCCTGATGTTGCGCCCTGCCCGTTGGCGTCAACGGCCAGGCCCCCGCGCAGGCAACCAAGCGTTGCATCTGCCAGCGCGCGTGGCTCTTCGAGCTAGCAAAATGAAGGGGGCACAGATAAGTTGTGTCCCCCCCAGGTTCTGCGAAAGAGAGGTTGGTAAGACACAGGACTGAACCGGTGAGAGCGAGCGAGCAGCATGTTTCGGTCCCTCTTTCCCCCCCCCCAATTCCAGAGGCACGCTATCGCAATGCTCGCGTCGAGTCGCCCAAAGCAAGTTCCTTTTCCCCCTCCTCCTCGCCTATCACGCGCTGCCGCGCTCGCAGGAGGAAGGTATGCTCAATGTCCTGTCGGCCACTATCGTGCAGGATTCTCGCATCTGCGTGTGCGTACCAACGTTGTCGATGTCTACTCACGTGAGGTGCGATTGTGATGTGTCAGCGCGCGGCAGCTTCAATGGGGAAACACGTCAAAGGACGCAGTGCGTGCTCAGATTGTCTTGTGTGTTTACCTTACTTTCCTGCGTCGTCCAGTCCACCGATTTTAACCATTCCCTTCATGCTGCGCACTGCCACATGCCCTCCCCGCCCATTTCTCCTGCCCCTTCCCTGCTGCTGCTGTTGCTGTTCCTCCTCCTCCTCCTCCTGCTCCTCCATCTCCACCTCATTCTCCTCATCATCATCATTATCCTCCTCCTTCTCTTTGTCCTCCTGCTCCTCCTCCTCCTCCTCCTCCTTTTCTTCCTTCTTCTTCTTCTTCTTCTTCTTCTTCTTTCTTCTCCTCCTCCTCCTCCTCCTCCTCCTCATCCTCCTCATCCTCCTCCCCCTCGTCCTCTTCCTTCTCCTCCTTCTCCTCCTCCTCTTCCTCCTTCTCCTCCTCCTTCTCCTCCTCCTTTCCTCTTCGCTCCACCCGATCCCCCCTCCCAGAGGCTTCTGCTGCAGCTGAAACCCCGCTCGGGGTGTTTCTGGAGGGTGTCAAGGTCGGGACTGCGCCCTGAAAGGTCGAGGGGTCACCGTCTCGTGGCGTTCCCTGTGCCTCAGGAGGGTCATCAGCCGTTGCTGTTTTGCACAGCCTGTCGAGGCTACGCGACCGTCTCTTCGGGTGCCCGAGAGTTGCCTGATGTTTGTCCAGGGTCTGTTAAAGCGCGTGCTGGAGCCGGAAAGAAGAATTCTAACAGCTCTCGTCGTGTCAGGAACCCCAAGGGGGCTTTCCTAGGGGGGGATCCTGTCGCTGACCCGCGGGTGGTCTAATCCTGGCTACCCGCGGTGACAACACTGTTCTCTCCGATGGACCCCATAGGTTTGTTGGGACGAACTATTTGTCCCTCCTCCTCCTCCTCCTCTGGATTATTATCCACCTCCTCTGGATCTTCTTTATCTGGATCCTCCTCCTCCTATTCCTCCTCCTCCTCCTCGTCATCATCATCATCATCATCATCATCATCATCATCATCATCATCAGCATCAGCATCAGCATCAGCATCAGCATCAGCATCAGCATCAGCATCATCATCATCATCATCATCAGCATCAGCATCAGCATCATCATCATCATCATCATCACCATCATCATCATCAGCATCATCATCATCATCATCACCATCACCATCACCATCACCATCACCATCATCCATTCTCCTCCTCCGCCGCCTCCTCCCTTCCCCCTCCCTCCCCCCTTGCGACGCGGCGGCTACGGCGCTTCTCAGGTCCTCCTGTCGACGACCTGCGAGGGGCTGCTGGCGGTGCCCGGCGGAGGCGACCAGGTAGACGCCATGTACGAGGTGCTTGCGCCGCATCCGGCTCACAAGGAGGGAGGGGAATGTTTCTTCCTCCTCCTCCTCCTCCTCCTCCTCCTCCTCCTCCTCCTCCCCCTCGTCCTCTTCCTTCTCCTCCTTCTCCTCCTCCTCCTCCTCCTCCTCTCGCCTTAGGGCCGCGCACATTCGTTTTAAGCAGTTGCAAGAGTTTCACGGATTGAGATCGGGCAATTTTCAAAATGTGGCTCTCGCTTTAGCGCCGCGCACCTTCCTTTCCAGCATTTACAAGAGCGTCACGGATTGAGGGCGGGTGGTTTTCAACATGTGTTTCTCGTCTTAGCCTCGCGCACATTAGTTATGAACATGTGCAAGAGTTTCACGGATTGAGGGCGGGTGATTTTCAAAATGTAGCTCTCATTTCAGCACCGCGTGCAGTCTTTTCCAAACGATGCAAGAGTTTCACGGATTGAGGGCGGCTTCGTTTCAAAATGTGGTTCTCGCTTCAGCGCCGCGCGCATTGGTTTTGAACAGTGCAAGAGTTCCACGGATTCCCATGATCAACGTACTTGACATGGTGTTTCGGAAGGATTCTGTCGCATGAGGGTGCAACAGTTACGCTGGTTCGCGGTGTTGAAGTCCCAGGAATGGTGGTCTGGCATGATTCAAGATCGTCAAGATGCAACAGTCAGGTTGATCCGTGGCGTTGGAATCCCGAGACAAATGTTTTGGCATGCTTCAGGTCTGCAAACAGTTGCTTTCCAACGAGGCAGTTCCCTCGGTGGACATGAACCGTAGTAAGGGCTTTTGAAGAGGGAGCTTGGAGGGAGGGTTTATTCCAACATCGTTGATGACTCTTGGGTTTACATTGGTCCTCCTACTCCTCCCCCTCCTCTTCCTCCTTCTCCTCCGCTTCCTCGTCCTCCTTCTCCGTCCCTCCTCCTCCTCCTCCTCCTCTTCGTTTCCTCTCGTTCTTCCTCCTCCTCCTCCTCCTCCTCCTGTTCCTCTGGTTTCACCTCCCCCTCCACGTTCCCCTCCCTCCGCCCCCTCGTTCCCCATGTTTTGTTCCTCCATGTTCTCCTCCCCCCTCCCTCCCTCCTTTCCTCCTGTCTCCCTCCTCCCGCCCCCTCACTCCTCCTCGTCATCCCTTTTTCTTCCTCATCGGCAGCAGCGCCCCTGCCGCAGGGTTAAAGGAAATCCATCGCCAGCACTAAGGCGCAGCTGGCGCGGCCGAATCTATTTCATCACGCAGGCATGGAAAGGTTGTTTCTAACTTCAGTCGCCACGCCTTTCTTGCCAGGGTGCTTCCCTGATGAGGTGTCCCTGCAGTTTCTCCTCCCCGTGATCGTGGGAGGCTTGCGATCATAGCCCAGGCCTCTGGCTTTGGCCCCTGAGCCATAGAATTTGCAGCGGAGTCAAACGAATACGAACGACTTACCATTACAGTACAATGCAGTGGCATGGCAGCCGAACCTCTGCAACACCGCCGAGTCCAAACGAGACCAGCACGCGCAGCCAGAGGAGGTGGGACAGTCGTCCGCCAGCGGTTCTCGCAAGCGCACTCTGCACCTCCACGCGCCACTCGTGCCTTCCCGCGCACCTCCACCTCCACGCACCTGCGTGCACAGGGCGGGAGGAGGCAGCAGCACCAGCAGCAGGAGGCTCAGAGGGAGGAGGGGTAGACTTGACCCCCTCGGTGCCTGGGAACTACAGCTTGGGCCAGCGCGGGAGAATTCCGCCCCCGCCGAAAGAACAGCACGACCAATGTTGATGCTCCAGTCGGATGTCTTGGATTCCTGAGGCGGCAATCCTGGATTTAGGCCTGCTCCCTTCTTGGCCGCAAAATCAGCTTACACACTGCCGAGTCGCAAACCATCTTTCCTCTCAGCTGATGGAAGCATCAGTCGTGTCTCTCTGAGCATCGACGTCGACCTTCTGCAGAGATTTGCAGAGATTGCCGAAGTGGTATCGAGCTTGGAGGACCTTCTCTGGGTACTGCCTTTTGGCGCGAGTCTCCGAAATATTATGTTTATATCGACTTGTCTTTCTAGGAGGGGGAGCAGGAGGAGGAGGAGGAGGAAGAGGAGGAGGAGGAGGAGGAGGAGTTGCCATGAAGAGAGAGCGTCCTGGAGGAGGAGGTCCTGCAGGTTGACCTCGAGACCTTGATGCAACACAACATTCGCACAGTCCGAGCCGCAGTGAGCGGGAGCCTCAGTGTACGAGCCAGCCCCGGCAAGAGCCCCCAAAGCTCAGAGCCCTGCGGGCCTTGAGGCCACGGAGCACAGAGAGGCCCTTCGAGAGCCTCCAGGAGCCCCCCAACCCTCAGAGGCCATACGCACAGCCCACCCCGCGCGATTTAGCTCCCCGACAAGGCTCCCGATGCAGGAGCCGTCCATACAAATGTGCCCCCCAGGAGCCTTCCCCAGGCACCACGGGAGCATCTGACTCCGCGTTCTCGGGCGCGGGCAGCTAGTCCCCATGCCGGTCTGGCACAACACCACCTTCACGCAGAGAGGCCGGGGAGGATACATCTCCTGGATGGCGGAAGGCGTCGAGAACAAGCAGCTCCCTTCCGTAGTCAGGATCCTCGGTATATTCAAAGCTGGCTCATGGACCCACTCGGGGAGATGTTGGTCTCTAACTTCCTGCACACGGGTGCCTAAACTTGCGGTGGGAGATCGTGTCCCTGACGGCGCCGCAAAAACCACACCTGTCCGAGATCAGATAGCCTACATCTGCTGCGTCCCCCCGCAGTCCAGCAAGCGTTGGTGGCCTGCGCACGGAGCAAGCTCTTGGTGAGACCAGAGAGCTTGCGAGAGGCTGACAGAGATTTAGCCACGTCGCAATTGAGCCCACACCCGAGTCCGCACTTGTCCCCAGATTTTCTTCCCAAATTCTTCCAGTTGCCCTCCTTACAGGAAAGCTGAACCAGCCGAGGGGGCCGAAAGGGTGAAGGAAACGGTGCGACCAAAGTAGTCGACAATGGCGGCAAAGCCGGGCATGGCCCACCCCAGGCGCTACCACGACATCCTGGGCGAAGAGATCGGCCCTTTGACTTGGGCCCAGAGCCAATCTGAAGACATCGCAACCCTGAGCCCCGCTCGCAAGAGGACCCGCAGCGCAAATCTTGACCCACTTCCCACACATCACATCAGGATGCTTCCTGAGGCGCTGGATTTGTTCAGAGTCGTGGCGGTTCTGGACTTACTCTTGGCAAGCCAGCCTATTCCACGCCCCCTCACGGAACGACCCGCCGTGGAATCCACCCCCAGATTCTCTACATTCCCCCTCTCGGGCGCTCCTGGGGGTCCTAGCTCCGAAAGGAGCGTATCCGAAACGGATTTGCAACTGGAAGCCATGCCGACCTTGTCCATGGCCAGTTGACAGCCTAGCGAATCCGTGACTGCAACATGCAAACGCTTGCTCAAGCAAGAAGCCCACTGACGGCCACCTTGGCAGCCCCAGTGCAGCTGAGCCCGACGTCATCAATATAGGCGTCGAAGTCTAGGCCTGGCCTAAGGGGCATTGTGCCAATTTTTCCCATTGCAAACGCATGAATCAGGCTGGTGGAAAGGAGCATCCCGCAAACCATCCAGAAAACCTCCTAAGGCCATGAACATGTCCGAGGCATACGAGCGAATCGCAACGTGGGCGGTCCTCAAGGGCAAGCGGTGCTGCCTGCACATCTCATACAAAATCTGGAACCAACATGTTCGTTATACTCCCTAAGATCCCAGAAGATGTAAGCCAGAATTTGTTTTCGACGCGCGCCAGACTCAACCCTGCGCGCTTGTCGCCAGACAACATCGGTGGCCCCGCGTTTGGCGCTGGCAGCCCAGAACTTGCAAAAATAGCTGGCTTCCCAGAACTACAACTGAGCTTCTCCTTTGCGCGCTTCTCCCTGCGCGCCCTGCGCCAGCTCGGAAAGACACCGATGGGCCTGAAACCTCCAGAGGGCCCCCCATAAGCGCCAGTAGCATCCAATGTATCTGAGCGGGGAGAGACCCCGCAGCCTCACTCGCGCAAAACCAAAGGACCGCGTCACGCAACGCAGCATCACAAAGTAAGGAGACTGCCTGTAACAAAAGCCATCAACACTAACAGTACCGTGGCCGTCCTTCTCAGATACGGCTCTAAGTTCCGAGGGCTCGAGGAGGGGCGCAGGCCCCAGGTGCTCCGGACAGCGGGGGCCAGCACCATCCCCAGGACCCCCGCTCGAAGCAAACTCCTCGGTCTCCGCTCGACGCAAAGCCGTCGGGTCCGCAACGGTGACTCCTGCAGCCGTCAACATAGTCGTGGAAGCCTCAGGTCCAGGGCCTGCCGACCACACTTCCCGAGCCCTTCTGGCCGACCGACGTGAGAGTGACCTTTTGCCGGGGTGGCCATTGGCGCGGTCCCATGGGGTCCCCCGATCGCCGAACGCGATGCGATAGTAGCGCGTTGCGCGTTTGGCTCGGCCCCCCCGCGGCCCCCAAAGCAACTGCGAGCGGGGTCAAGCATCGATCTGGCTCGAGGATTCAAGCTGGCAAGCTATCAAGCCTGTCTGGTCGAACTCTTACACTTCGGACACAAGCAGTGCGTGGTTTTGGTCGCAGCAGCAACGATTGCAGGTGCGGCGAACGTTCGCGCGGCGGCAGGCTCTACGGGACAGTCGCCGGATGAAAAGAAGCCGAAGTCGAATGACGAGGAGGACCTGAAGGGCATGAACACAGACAAGAAGATTGACCTCACGCACGAAATGCTCGTCGAGATGAAGACGGACATGAGCCAGAACAAGCTCACTGCCCAGAACGCGATGGCAACGAGCGAACCGGCGATGGAGACAGCGACAAGCACCAAATGCGCAGTCGACAGCATCAGCGGAACGATCCGGAAAGTAGAAGCCAGAGATGAAGCGGCGACAGGAGAAATCAAATTCTTACAAGCCAAGTTCAGCAACCAGCCCGGCGACAAGGGGGGCGGGGCAGGCGCCGCGCATCAGGATCTCCAGTGCGGCCCGCGCGCACGTCAGGTCATCGTGGAATGTCTAGAGGAGGCGCAGGACGAGGATAATTTTATTTCACGAGTAAAGGCGGTCGTCGAAGAGATCGGAGGGGAAGGCAAATGC